TATATTTCAAATGCAATCATGTCCATTTATACAACCAATGCAACCTAATTAATTGAGATATTTATAGAAATAATGAGAGTTTACTTATTATGATTTGAATATTTATGAAAGATAACTAGAGTTCATTAATTATGATCAATACTTTATATTATGAAACAATCAAAACTTTTATGAAATCACATATTCATCACATTAAATGAACGGTTGAGATTGAGTTGTATTGATTGTCCAAATGTAAAGGGTTGCATAATAACTCACCTCTCTCTCTCTCTCTCTTTATATATATATAAGAAAAAGACAAAAGATAAAAACAACAAAAAAACAAAAAAAAAATTATACAAGGGCTTAGGGGTGTCATTAGCAATGTCTAGGGGTGCCATTAACCTTTTCTAATGAACAAAAAAAAAAAAAACAAATGATGCAACTCTTATTTTATATTTTACATATCAAGCACAATTTTATAGATTCACATGTGTCACAAGCTCATAGTTATTACGAAATTGTAAAATCTTTTTAAGTTTTATTTTAAATATTTGATCGCGAACTATATAAATATATATATATATATATAATTTTTCTTTTTCTAAAACGAAAACACATTTTATATTGTAATTATATCATTTGTAATAAATATAAAACATATATGAAAGTGGAAGTTCAAACGAGAATATCTTCATTTTACGAAAATGCGAAAACACACTTATCACATGTAATAATACACGCGAGGAGCCTGGTGGTATGTAGACGACTTGACCTACGACCGAGGTTGTGCCAAAGGCCGGTGACATTTCTGATTTAGTATCTCATATGGTTAACTATAGTAAAAGAGTGTTCTCGGTTTTCGTATACTGAAGTGTTCTCGTTTGAACCCTTTTTAAATTACTTGGTTAAACCAATAACTAAAGGTTAATTAAATAGATAAAAAAAAATAAGTTATAGTATTTTATTTGTGGTTTTGGTAAATTTGACAATAAGATAAAAAAATTTAAATGTTATTATTATGAATATTATAAAATCAAATAAGCATTTTCAAATATTTATAACAACAAATAATTTATATTTAAAGAAATTTCTTTTTTATTAGTTCACGTTTTAAAACATTTGTAATTACTAAAATTAGTTATAATTAAAATATGAGAATATAAAAATGTCACATGTTTTATATTGTACTGGTAAAGTGTCTGTACGATACTGTAGCATGCATTTGATTTTAAAAATGTCAATCACGTTTTATTTTTGTTCTTTTTTTAATCCTGATTTTAGTTGTGGATTTATACAGTATATCTGAGTGTAAATTTTGAATAAACGTAAATAATAATTTTTGTTAAATTAATAAACTTGAGGGAACAATTTGTAAATTTTCTCTTTGGATTAGTTTTTTCTTTTAATGTGGGGAAGTAGGGGGTCAAGTAAAAAAATTAGTTTTAGTTTTTGTTTTAACAACAACAAAAACAAAATTTATTAAACAACCAAAACAAAAACACGAAAATATTTATTTTGTAAAATGCAGGAATCAAGACAAAAAGGCAGTAAAAATAGCAAATCTGAATAAAAAATAAAAAACAACAGTTTAGCCAACAGAACAAGAAGAAACTAAAAACAATTCGTAGCTAAAAGAATGAAGATTCATATGAATCCTCGATTTTAAATTTGATTATTTCAAACAATATTTTTAGGTTATGTTTGGCAAACTAGCTGATAAACAAATCATATTTTACAAAAGTTAACCGATAGTAAATAACATATGTTAATTAATACAAACAACATTAGTAAATAAAAATTAATATGTTATTTTTGCAACATTTTATAATATAATTAAAATAAGTTCTTAATGATATCATATGCTAATTAATAC